AGGAAAAAAGGGTCCTTGCTCTCGGTTACAAATCCCTATTTGTCTTGCATGGGCAATCACAATTCATAAAAGTCAAGGCTTGACACTAGAAAAGGCTATAATAAATCTTGGAAAAAAAGAATTTGCTACTGAACTCTTGTTTGTAGCAATATCGCAAGTTAAAACTCTTAAAATATTCTTTTTAGTCCATTTTCTTTTGAAAAATTACAGCATATTAAAACTTGTAAAAATATAATCACATATCGGATATGTTATATCAGGGTATAAATATTATCAACTGACAGATGACGTGTGTTAGTGTTATAAGATTGGTCTAAAATAGGCCCAAATTTTATTATTACGGTTAGAATTATATATAATGCTGGTCAGTTAAAATTGATTAATATCTGATACTTGATGCATATATATAGTCACACTATTAGGCATAGTACTCAATATGCATAGCATATATATATGTAATACTTCGGACATTTCAACAGTTTCTGTTTCCTAGTATATAGTAAATATTAAAAATTATATTTAATTCAAAATTATATTGTTTATTAAAACCTTATTTTATAATAATATTTTATATGTAAACAAATAAAAATTAAATTTAACAAATTTGATAATTTAAATTGATAATATAGTTTCTATTTTTAGATCAATTTTATTTATTTATTTGATATAATTTGAATAATTAGAATAATTTTATAAGTATTTACTAATATTTATATATGTAATATAAAACAATGAATATAAGAATTAATATTAATAACATTAACAAATCATATTCAATACTTATTTATACAACGAAAATAAATAATAAATAACGTTATATTTGTAATATTTATATTTATATTAAACCATAATGTATAAATTCAACAATTGAAATTATATAATAAAAATATTTTTTAATAATTAAAAAAAAAAAATATTATACCGGGCAGATTTTAATGCAACGATAAAATATATAATATTAATATTTGTCAAGATACAAAAGTAAATATCTTATCATTTCGATTTTTGATAATTGATCGAGTTATGAAGTACATTACAAAAGTTTCATTAATGAAAAATTAGATAAAGTACAATCATTACATTAAAGATATATTTAAAAATTTTTAAAAAAATTAAATTTAATAATACTGTATATTTACACTCAATTAATAATCATTTTTGAAGATTTTTGTGATCTTAAAATTGTTTTACATATTTATTGTTTAGAAAATATAAAACGAAAAGTTATTATAAGTAATTAATCAACATAAACAGAAGTTTAATTTTCATTATATTTGCAAACATGCAAGTTAAAATCAAATATATCCTAGTATTAGATTGTAAACATTTAATAGAATTTGTAAAATCAAAAATTATCTTACTAATAAACACCGAAAAATTTTGTACAGTAATCGTTACAATATTTACTGTATATGTGATCATATAGTATAAACATTCATTGATGGTCACGGGCTAGTGTTACCGATTATACCGAAATACGGTGGCCAATCGTCTGAAAATTGTCTATTAAGTTATGAGCGGTACAGATAATAAACATGAATCGATACCTATCGAGAAACCCTTTATCCCCAAGTATCTGCAAAATAGTTCTTTGGATATTTATAACAGAACGGCAGAAAAACCTATATTATTGCCTAGCAGATGGAATTTTGCGGATCGTGGGGAAGGTGTAAGTGTGGAGAGAAATCAATTAGGGATAGGATATATAGGTGATTGTTGATTTATGGAGACTGTTTATCGATTAATAATTTTGCTGAATTTCGATAAACTTAAGGAACTGGAATGCTCGCAGCTATAAGATCAGACCACCCAATCATTCGAGAAACCGGAATTTTTTACTACGAAGTTGACATCATAGATAGTGGTCCTAGGAGGTAAATCTCTGAGATGAATTTTTGTAATGGTACCTTTTAATAATATTATAATGTTTTTATTACAGTTTAATTTGAATTTGATTTGGTAGAAAGACTGCTTATTTAAATAGACAACCAGGTTTCCATTTTACATTCTGATTACTTTGATTTACTTTATATTGTTGTTCTCAACGGTGAGTCTGTCGCTAATCTGGACCAAGACTCGTACGACGTTGGGAGCGTGGGTCTATGTCGCTGGCAATACCAAAGATACGTATGGTGATAATTATCTTAATCTTCCCTTATGTTTAACTAGTTTCCTCTTCTAATCCCATCCTTCTTGTACTACAAGGCCCTGGATTCTCTTTAAGACGACTAAAAGACAAACAAGGTAAGTTTATTAATTATCGTTGCACTAGCACACAATTGGATTTTTACTAATTCGTTATTTTATTATCTATCGCGACCTATCTGTGTCTCTCTACATTATAATTGAATACTGCTGCTATTTATACATGATTGCGACGCGTCTCTAAATCTATCGTCGCGTAATGCAGAATTACCAAACT